CCCGTTGAATTCCTTTGCACCTTTGCCAGAGGTCCTTGGTTGTCCGAGTCTGCGTGGGCCTGTTTCTGGACTCTGGTCGGCCCCGTTGCTCTGTGCCAGCGTGCTGCCCGTGCTGGCCCGCCTCCACCGCTGCGGCTTTCTAGCACGTCTGAGACTGGCAGTGTTGGCCTCAACTTCGTTCTTTCTCGTGGTGGTCTGGTGACTGTAGGACCGTGGGTTTGTCTGTGAGTTTTAGAATCGGCCTGTCCGTTTCCCCATGGAGGGCCGCTGGGATACTGGCGGGTTGCGCTGCCCGCAGGTGAGCTGGGGAGACCCGGCTTCTTAACCGCTGGCTTCCCAGCCTGCGAGCGAGGCCTGGCGAAGCTCTTCACTCTGGTCCCCTGCCGCGTTTCCCAGCCGCGTTTGTGGTTTTCAGTGTGCTCCGGTGCCCTAAGGTTTGTGACAACGACGTCTGTGTGTGCAGACGCCGCACATGCTAGAACGTGAAGTGGGTCAGAGGCTTCATCTTCAGCTCGCGATCAGAAACGCAGTAATGTCCCCGCTCCTCGCCCTCGAACAACCACGTTCCCTCCGGTGCCGCTCCTTGCTCCCGTACACGCAAAAATGAAAACATTCTGCTTTACGACACTAAGCAGGTTTTGAGAGAACGACGCCCTGTGAGCACACATGCCCCGAGGTCACACCGCAGCTGTTGCTGGGTCCTGCACCGCCTGGTCTGTCGGCACTGCGGGAGCCCAGGGGCAGTTTCCCAGAAATCATGGTCAGCTTGGTGCGGTTTGGGCAACTGTGACGGGGCCGCGACCCTGGGCAGCTGCTCTTGAAGGACTGAAGCCCTGGGACCAGGGTCCAGGTCACGGCTCACATGTGGATCCTTTGGAACCAGCACCCCAGCATCCCCCAGCAGCAGCACAGTTGGGCACAGCTGGTGTGTGCTGTCCCCTCCACACTAGACCGGGGAGGTGGCGTGTTGGGCCAGGACACAGGAGCCCCGTCCACTTGCGTGTCCGAGCCCCGCTCCCCCACTTCCTGGAGTCACAGTTCCCCCACGCTTCAGAGGCAGAGAGCCACGGGAGTAAGAGGAGCTCTCGGGCTGTGATTTATGTCAGCTTTACCCGTGTCCGCATTGGCTGCGGTATGGCAGCAGGGCCCAGGGCCGTTACCCTGGGCTCCTGGGCCTCGGGGACACTCCTCCTGCTTCTGTGGCCACAGCCTGGGGCCAGCAGGTCCCTGGCCCTCTGCACCCTCCCCAGCTCTTCCTCGCGGTTCCGGATTGTGGTGTGTGCGGCTCTCGGAAGTGAAGCCCGCCACTGTGTTTCGGACTGAGCTTTTGCCCCTTTCCTCGGCTCCTGTCCTGGTTCCGGCTTGGGGGACAGTTTCATTTTGCACGTGGTTAATTGGGGAGGGTTTTGCCTTTTGAGTCTTCCTGGACTCTCGTCCTTGTCTGGCAGTAACGGGGCACTGGAGACCCTCGTGGCGGTGAAGGTGAGGGCGGAGGTCTGGTCCCCCTCAGCCGGGCGACCATTCCCTGCTCCTGTCATCACAGCCCCAGCCGTTCCCCGAGGGAGGTGGCCTCCCAGGCCTGCGTGTGAAGGGCCGTGGCCGGCCAGGCGGGGGACGGCGTGGCGCCCGCAGCTCCCGGAGCTTGTGCGGAGGCGCTCCCCTGAAGTGATGTCTTCCAGGTGGAGGTTCCCAGGCGAGTCCAAAAATGCCCGTTTAATTTGTAGCGTAGCTCTGGCTGACCTACATTTTGGTTAAAAATACAGTAAAAACTGTTGGTATGAAGGGATCACGGAAACTGTAACATTTGGTAAAAACCTTGAGTTTATCTTAAACTGTGGTGCTTGAGGGAAGGATGGGGTCCGTTCTGAAGGGCTGGCCGTCTGCTCCAGTCTGCGTGGCAGGAGCGGCGGTGGGGACAGCCCGCGTGGGGTGCCCCGGCCTCCCCCACAGCTGGTGCCAGGGTCTCGTGCGGCTGAGCGTGGGAGGCCCAGGCTCTGCCAGACCGCGTGGCCCTTGGAGCTGCTGGTGGGCGCTGACGCCGTGCTCTGTGATTTTAAAATCTGAGCTTTCACAGCAACGAAACCCAGAAAATAGCCCCGTAGCGTAAGCAACAAAGACATTATACATTTGTCTTGGATGAAGTATCATGGAGCTCCTGGAAACTCTGTTTTTGAAGAGTGTTCAGTGACGTGGGCACGACGCACGGTACGAGTGGCCTCGGCCTGCGTTCTCGTCCCCCGGCCGGGCACATGTGTTCTGCGTGTGCGATGGCTGGAGGGCGCGGGATTTCAGATCTCTGCTGTCCGGGTGCGTCTCTGAGTTTCTCAGGTTTGCTGCACAGACTTGCTGTTCCCAGCAGGGCGTTAAGTTATGAAAAGAGAGCACCCGAGTTCTTTTCTGTCTGCTTGATCGGGATGGCGGCTCGTGCAGACAGGCTGGTTTTGGCTCCTGCGTGTCCTGAGCCGAGGCCCGCCCGTGGCTCCTGAGTTGTCTGTGAACTGCCTCCTGCTTCTGGGATTGGCCACCTTGGCCAGACAGGCTTTGAAGGGTCTTCAGAAATGAAAGGAGTGTTTTCCGTGTCTGCGCTCCGGCGGGGAAGCGCGCCGTGGGCGGTCCTGCTGCGGGCTTCGAGGGCGTGTGTGTGCCCAGCGCGGTTCAGTTGTGTTTGCGAAGGAGGGCACTGTGGTGTGTCAGGTGGTCCCTCTTGGCTCCTCGCCGGCCTCAGGGGCCCCAGCTGTAAGGGGACAGTGGGCCACACACACGGGAGCCCCTCCCTGAGCCCGTCTTGCGCCAGCAGAGAGGTGGGCGGGGGCGGCCTCCGGGGCTGACTTGGAGACAGAGTTGTGTTCCTTGGCCTTTGCAAGAATAGATGTTGCCCAGCAGCTTGTCTGTGTGAGATGAGTGATCACAGCGGGAGGTTACAAGGTCCGGGACTGAGATTGTGACATCAACGTGTGGCGTTGGATGAAGTTTGACGCGGCCGTCGGCGCAGTGATTGTCGGGCCGTTGTGCTCTCCGTCTGGCCGGTGATGGCAGCGCAGCACAGCTGGGGGCCTGGGAGGCAGCGTGTGCCCAGCACAGTGCCCGTCCCCACGTGCACGCGGCCTCCCCTCGGCTTCCGGAGCCGCGTGGCTGTCCTCGGGGTCACGGTTGCTCGGGGCCCCGCTGTGGCTGTGTGGCCGGTCACTTTGGAGCAGTCGCCTCCCCTTCTCTGCAGTTGCGTCTGTCCCTCTCCCTTGTAGGCTATGTCCCCACTCGGGATGTACTTTGAGTGCCGACCTGAGGTCACGTTACCTACTGAGGGTCCCCAGGTTGCTTCCCTCTCTGACTTGGCTCGTCACCACAGGCACGCTGCACGGTGGTGGCGGTCTCGCACTGCTCTGGCGCTGGGCGCGCCCCCTGTTCTCCACCGCGCTGGTCCCGTGGCTGTCATGTGACTGTTCCTTACTCAAATCTTGCGTGAAGTTTCGTGGAGGTGGCGCTTGGAGCAGAGCGGCGGCTGACCCCGGGGCACGCGCATCGCCGCGGTGCTGACCCGCCTGACGCGGGGGCGGCGTCACAGGGCCCTTGCCGTCCCTCGTCCCTTCCCCGCGCCGCCTCAGCCACTAGCTTCCGGAGGAGTCCGTGCGAGGAGGGAGCGGGGTCTCCGGCCAGAAGAGCGACTGGTGACGAGGGACAGCGGTCTTGGGAGATTGGCTCGGGAGGGCGTGGCCAGGCTGCGCTCTCCGGCTCCGCGGTGTGCTCGTGGGCTCCCAGGCCGGAGCCTTCAGCGTGGTGGTTGCTCGCGGCCGCCGGGTTCTGTTTTGTCCTGTTGTTAGATTGCAGCGTGGTTCACCGTAGACGGACGTTGTAGAGGGAGGCCTGCGTGGCGTAAATGTGGTCCCTCTGGATCGGGGTCATAGACGTGAACCCAGGAGGAGGCTGCCAAGTTTCCACGACCTGCTGTCGGAGGAGCCAGGGCCCGGAGGTTCAGGGGCTCCTCGTGGCCTCCCTGGGGTGGCTCGGGCTCTGGTTCAGTTCAGGAGGGCAAGTCCTGACGCGGCGTGGTGTGTGGTCGCGGGAGGCTCTCGGGCAGCCCTTCCTTCTTGGAGAGAGCGGCCTCCGTCCTGCCCGCGGCGGAGACGCGTCCCTTCCCGCTGGGGCATCGCGGCCCTGGGCTTCTGCAGGCCTTGCGTGAGCAGGAGTGTGCTGCTTGTTACATACTTTGTCCTGGGAAATGGAAGAGTTTGACACGAAAACAGACTATTTCTCGTGGAATCGACAACATAATTGTTCACTGGTTCTCGAAGCCGAGATGAAGCCAGATCTGGCGGGACTTGTTTCCCAGTGACATAGCTGCAGCCCCGTGAAGTGAGCCTGCCCGCTGTCTCTGTCTGTGTGGGGCCGCCAGGTTAGCCTCCGTCACGGTGCCACCCCCACACCCAGGAGGGAGTCCTGTTCCCAGGAGGACTGCTTGCTTCAGGCTTCGTAGGACCCTAGGCCGTGGGCAGACTGTGTCTCCCAGGTCCCAGCCCGCCCGCTGGGCAGGAGAAGTGAGGGAGGAGGGGCTGAGGGACCGGTTGCTTCCACGACTCCTGCTATCCTAGGATCCTGGCCACAGCCGGGAGTCGTGGCGTGAGTGCGTGGCCGTCCTGGTGGGGATGGTGCCTGGCCGTGGGGCCCTGCACCTGGCTTCCGCCCCGGAGGGTGCGTGGGCCTTGCTGCAGGCCGGTGCCGGTGGCCATGGGGCAGGTGGTGTGGCCTACAGAGGCTTTGCTGCCGGGCTGACTGCTGGAAGGAAGACTCCCCTGCTGCTGGAGTCCTGTGGAGAAACCTCGCGTGCTCTCCCGTCTCGGAGGCCGTCTTCACTGGCAAGTGGGCTTCGAGTTCAGAGACTTTGCCTGGCTTATGGCTCCTGCTTTCTTCTCCGAGCTGTCAGGCTGCCCAGTGACAGGGTTGGCCCCTTCACTGGCCATGTGCAGGCGGCATGTCTCCTGACACCACGTCTCCTTTGTCCCCAGGTATGGTCCTCGTGCGGAGCGAGAACGGGCAGTTGTTAATGATTCCCCAGCAGGCCTTGGCCCAGATGCAGGCCCAGGCCCACGTGCAGACCCAGCCTCAGACCAGCATGGCGGCCCGCCCTGCGACCCCCACAAGTGCCCCTCCCGTCCAGATCTCCACCGTCCAGGTGAGTGCATGCGTGCCGGGCGGTGGCGGCCCATGGGGAGTCCGCAGGCGTCCTGTGAGGGCAGAGAGGGGCGGCCACATGCCGCCCTCCATTGGGAGGCTCGGGGAGCTGGTGCTGCATCCGTGCTCCGCAAAACCGTGACTTGGTGGCCTAGACTCCATCCTGTCCTGTCCTCTGCTGTGACTCTACCTCCTGTGCCTCAGTCTCCCCTTCTGCAAAGTGAACCCCGCGTACGTCAGCTTTTCCTGTTGTGGAGGCACGTGGGGGTGTCAGTAGATTGTATGCCTCCCCTCCACATGTAGTTAGGCCTTTAGGGTTAGCTCAGGGATCTCTCCCCGGAGACCTGGGTCGGGGGCACGGTCCCCCAGTGTTAACATGTCTTGTCCACACCCCGGCTTCCGTTTGAGCGCGTGCTGGCATGCTACCCATGTCTCCGTCTCCCAGACCCTTTCTGCCTGGGGCTGTGAGTCTGTTGTTCTGACTGGTGGGCCAGTTAGTACCTGAGGTGGACACTGGGGGGGCTTGACATTCCTGTGATACTGGCTGTGTCCCCATGGTGGTGAAGGCCCACACTGCAGACAGAGGCCTTGGGTGGGCTGAGAGAGCCACGTGGTGCCCCGTCGTTGAATACTGGGGACAGCTGAGAGCAGTGTGCTCCAGGCCCACGGGGTCATGGGAAGCCAGGTGCACGCTATAGTCCGACTGCCGGTGCCACCCGCTCGGGACTCGTGCCATCTTCCCCTTGGCTTGAGGTGTCAGTGGGCCACCCGGTCACTCCTTTACTCCCTCGTCTGCAGCGATGTGGCCCCTCCCCCCCACACACAGGGGACACGTGCTTCTTGGTTTCTTAGTGCTTGTGAACAGGAGTACAGGAAGCGTGCCCAGGGACGGTTCCGGATCCTCGCTTTCTTGACAGCCTGTGGCTGGTAGACTTGGCTGAGGAGGCCTAGCGATTGCTCTGTCACAGCACACGTGTCACAGCACACACGTGGCCGGTCACACGCTTTTCCTCTGCTAAGAAGCGCTCCAAGTTGAGGTGGCCCTGCTGGTGACCGTAGCTTAAGGCCTGACGCATGGGCCGTGGTGTCCGGGTCTGTGCCGGGGCGGGGAGCCTGCCGCGCGGGCCTCAGGAAGTCGCTGTCCCTTGTTGCTCCTGTCAGACGACGCTCGCTTGTTTCTCAGGCACCCGGGACCTCCATTATCACGCGGCAGGTGACCCCAACGACCATAATCAAGCAGGTGTCTCAGGCCCAGACGACGGTACCGCCCACCACGGCACTGCAGCGCTCGCCCGGAGTGCAGGTGAGGGGCCGCGGGCGCGGTGTGGGTGCTGGCGGGGCCTCGCGGGGTGCGGTGTGTGTGCTGCGCCAAGCTTCGGGAGGCCGGCATCCTGAAGACCGTGTGTTTTCTCCCAGTGCCGACAAAGGACAGGTCAGGGTTCCTTTTCTTTGGAGCCACGTGGATTTTCCTAGTGGCAGCGAGTTTAGAAGCTTCCCGCTCTGCCGGAGGTGTGGTGAGAAGCGCCGCTTGTTGACGCCTGGTTGAGGCACCTGTGAGGCCGAGGAACCCATGGTGTGGACGGCGCAGGCCCGGCTCCCGTCGCCCTGTCTGTGCGGGGGCGAGGATGGGGGTCCCGTTGGGGAGCCGGGTTCCTGTTGCTCGGGTGTGCCACGTGAGCGGTCAGGGCCTTCCAGAACTGGCCTTGGCCTGCGTGCTGGCCACCTGGCTGCCCTGTCCCTGGCCCCCCCAGCCCATGCCCTCTGCCAGGGACAAAGCCCGGTTCCAGAAACGCTCCATGTTGGCTTGCCGGGGTTGGTGTGCGTGTTTGTTCTTAAAATGGTGTCTTCAGCTGTGGGAGGGAGGGAGCTCTGGAGGAGGCCCCGAGCCCTCTTGGCGGGTGGTTTGGCTAATGCCGACGGCTCAGCCTCTGATCTGGAAAGCCGAGAAGGGCGGCCGTGCGCCGGCGAGGCCGGCCCCTTATCATAGCAGCAAGCAGCTGCTCTGGGTGGCGAGGTCAGAGCCGCTGGAAGCCACATGGTTCTGAGTGGCTCTGCTCTGAGGGTGTCCGTGCACGTCCGCCGCGAACGCGCGGTTTACAGCATGACCACTTGGTGCTGGGCGTCTGCTGGGCGCCGGGGCCGCGTCGCCGTTGTTGCTCGTTGCTGTGTGTCCCCAGCGCGGTGCTCGGGGTAGGCTCTGTTCCCGCTTCCCGAGAGCGGTGTGGGATGGGAGCCCCGGGGTGCGGGGTGTCCGGACGGTGGCTGTGGTCTGGGGCTCCCATCCCTCCGGTGGCTTCTCGTCTTGTGCTGTTTGGTGTCTGCGTGGGTGACGTTGCTCTCCGAAGCAGTGGGAGGAGCCCCAGGAGCTAAGTGGCGGCCTTGCGTGTGGCTGGAGCGCTCCTGGACGCTTCCTTGGTTCGCTGTCTGCATGCCGGGCTCTGCCTGGTGGGCACGTCTGAGTTGCAGTTACAGCACGAGGCCACTTTCCTGACAAGGTCCTGAAGCTCGCGGTGCGTTTGGCATCACATTTAGGGGAAAGTGAACTGATCGAAGTAGGCAGGCCCCATCTCCGTATCCTACAGGGAAACGCACATTTGTCGGGCCGTCGGAAGAGAGTGCAAGGGTATATCTTGAGGTAGAGGGAAACCCGACAGGATGAGAGGTGCCTGGGCTCTTTCTGGGCATCAAGAAGCAACCCCTGTCCCCCTGGCTGCCCGGAGCCAGCTGCGTGGTGTGGCCTGCCACGCTTTCTTCCTCTGTAGCGTGTGGCGGTTCTGGCTGCAGCGGTGGTGTGTGTGACAGAGGACACGGGCTGTGAGGAGTGAGCTTGCCATCTCCTCCTGCTCGCACTCGTCGCTGGAGACCAGTGTCCGCAGCCGGGATCCCCTGGGGCCGGGCGGACTGTGCTGATGCTGGCAGAGCCGGCGGGCACTCTGGCGGAGCGGACAGGCTGCACACAGCTGAGCTCGGGGACGCTGAGTCCCCGAGCAGAAGCCGCGAGAAGGTGGTGCTGGCAAAGTTGGAGGGACGTGCAGGGCTACGTTTATGAATCAGATGTGTCTAGTGAGACAAACCAGTAAATACTCTCGTGACGTCTCACGTGGAAGGAAACCTCGGGGCTCCCCAGGGCTGCAGTTCGGGTCGCCGGCGATGTGTTGGCCTCCATGAGTGTGTTCAGTCACATGCCGCTCCCTGCTCACACCCGCTCCCCTGCGGGCACACAGACGCTCTGAAAGCCCCTTTCCGTGCTGTTTCCACGAGACCCGCTGATGCAGAGCATGGTGGCTGGTCAGGTGGCGGAGGCACTGCCTGCCCCCCCGCCACCTGCCCCGAAGTGACACTGGTGACCACCTCGCGTGCCCAGCCTTCCCTGTGTCTGGCCTCTGCACGAGCCAGGTGACACATTTTCAGTTGTAGTTTCTCTGTTTGGCCTTTTGTTTCTGGGGGAAAAGCTGATTTACGAGGGCCACTCGTACGCCAGGCTGGGCCGTGTGCTGGGCTTCCTGGCTCGCGGTCTCCGGCCAGGTGCGCCGTCTCCCCTTTCCTCAGTGTGCGGGTCTGGGGCCCTGGGGGCTCTTGTCTGGGGCTCTGCCTGCTGTGGGTCTGGTTTCCTTCTGGGCACATGAGGCCCGTGTCAGCAGCACCTGTGGTCACCTCGAATTTTGGACTCTCGTAGCCTCAGCTGGTTCTGGGTGGCGCGGCCCAGACGACTTCCCTCGGGACGGCGACGGCTGTTCAGCAGACGGGGACACCTCAGCGAACGGTCCCAGGGGCCACTACCACCTCCACAGCTGCCACGGTGAGTGCCCCCTTCGGGGGTGGGAGAGAGGTGCCTCGAGGCTCCTGCTGTCCTCGTCCACCTGCCCGCGGCCTCCCTTCCTCCTGGGCCTGGGGACCTTGGCCTCTCCGAGGTGGGGTGTGAGGCCAGCGGCCTCAGAGGGGTGGCGGGAAGGCCCTGTCCCCCTGCTAGGCTTTCGGGCTGTGCAGAAGTCCACCGTGAGAGGAGCCCTAACAGTGGCCTTTGAGGACGGTGCCCGTGGACTGTACAGAGGCCACTGTCTGTGGAGCGGTGCCGTGTCCCCATTAGTCACACAGCAGCGTCCTACGTGTGTCCTCTGGCCCCCGGGGTTGGACTTTATTGGGCTCCCCTCTCTGGTTTTGTTGCCCAGCGCTTTCCGTCGTCTTCAGTAGCTGAGTTTAACTTAATTCCGTGTAGCGTGTGCTTAGGGAGGAGCTTTTCTCTACGGCGCCGCAGCGTTGTGTGGAACTTCTTGCGGTCCCTCGGTCCCGGCCGCGGTGGTTCTCCCAGTTACCGTTCCAAGGGTCGAGCTGCCGGCCGAGTGCGGGGGGCGGACTTCGCTGTGCCCTCGGCTGGCGAGCCGACCCCACGGGCAGCCCCGCGAGAGTCCTGCGCTTTCTGGGGAAGGAGAAGTGCAGGCTTCGTAGACGCGGACGCGCGTTCCCGTTCGCGGGGGGCCACACCAGGGACCCGCCTCACCGCTCCTTCACTCGTGTCTTTTTTAACTTGGATCCAGGAAACCATGGAAAACGTGAAGAAATGTAAAAATTTCCTGTCTACGCTAATAAAGCTGGCTTCGTCTGGCAAACAGTCCACGGAGACCGCCGCTAACGTGAAGGAGCTAGTGCAGAGCCTGTTGGTAAGAGCGCAGCCCCGAGCCCCGGCCTGAGCGAGTCTGTGGGACACACGGGGCGGGGTGGGCGCCAAGCAGGGGACGTCCTACCACAGGTGTATGGCCCCGCCGCGCCCTCAGCCTGGGCTGGCTGTCTGGGGACCTCACAGGCAGGCCACCGTGGGGGCCTGTGCCCCGCACCCCGACCCTTTGCAGCCTCCGCGATCGCCAGCCTGGCCTGCTGCCCGGGGCGTCCACTCGAAGAGGGCAGGCCCCACTGATGGCCACTGGAAGGCGTCTGGTCGGCCTCGGGAGCATTTTTAAATGCACCTGATAGAGGGTGTTTTAAGAGGCTTTCTCTCACGTCTCTGCTCAAGCGTCTAAAATGGAGATTTGCAAACCCTCCACAGGTGGGAAGCAGAGTCTGTGAGGCCCTGTGTCCCGTCTCCAGGCTTCCCCAGTGACTGAGTCACACCCGATCTCACAGCTGCTGCGCTCCCTTCCCGCCGCCCCTCCTCCCCAGTCCCACACACGACACGGCATGGAAGGGCCCTGGTTAAAGACCCCTGCCACAGGTGATCGGCGCACCAGCGTAGGGAACCCCCAGGGCCCTCGAGAGCCTGACTGCCACGCACGATCCTGGCGCCTCCCCTGCTGCCTGCGGCCTCTCCAGCCAGGGCTCCGTCAGCCATGGGCGCTGCGCCCAGCGCTGTCTCCTTTGGCCCGATGGTCCCTCCTTGCTCTTCTCTCTCCTTGTGGCTCCTTTGTTGACGAAACCTGGTGGTCCGATGTCTGGGCTGTGGACGCTCTCGGACTCTGTGCTGCTGGGGTTTGGGCTCAGGTTCTTGGCTCTCCGGGCCTTCCTTCCCGGTGCAGCCATCCAAGAGTGGGTGGCAAAGGGGAGACCCTCACCCCCGGGGTGACGAGCTGAGGGACAGTCCTTCTCAGAGATGCTTCTGGCTCCTTCGAGGGGCGGCCTGTACCTTGCTCGTGGCCCGCGCGGGTGTCGTCCGGAAGGAAAGCGGTTGTGTTCCTGCAGAAACATGATTCTTTCAGACCGTGGGCTTAAATATTTTCAGGGAACTTGGAGATTGAAAAATGATCTTACCTCCCAAGAGAAACAAGAATTCCTGGCTTTTTGTTTGTTCTAATTGTAATAATTCCACCTTCTAATGAAAATTTCTAATGAAATAAATGTCTCTCTCATCTCCACGGTCCCTTGTCTGTAGTCCACACTTTCCTAACCGCCACCCAAGGAGCTGCTTGCTCTCGCTGTCCCTCGCTTCCCAGATGGTCCGGAATGGCACCCCCATCTCCCCTCTGTGCTTTTGTCAGGGCCAGGACCCCTGTTCCGTCCTTGTCACAGGCCCTCGTGGCGCTCTGGACAGTGCTGGCGGCTCCCCTCTGACATTAACATTCGTTAGCTCGGGGCTCGTGACACTGATGCCAAATAAGAGGGCACAGGTCGGGCAGAAGCTCATGTTCTCCTGTGGGGCTCGGGTGCCGGCCTTGCCTCAAGGATGGCTTGTGATGTCCCAGCCCTGCCCCCCTCTCTTTCCCTCCCGACCCTCAGACCACACTTGCTTTGGTCTCTAGAACAGAGTCATGCCTCCCGCTGTGCCCTGGGCTTCCTCCAGGAGGCTTGGTGTGGGTCTTTGGTGTAGGTCGTTGTCTCTTCTTGTGACGGTGTCCCTGACTTCTCCTGTGCTGTCCCCTCTCTTCCCACCCAAGACCCAGCAGAAAGGACACTGATTGCCATTCAGGACACTAGCACATCCTGAATCACGGGGTGCGTGTGTTCACTTCTGTTTACGGGAGAATGTTGTTGTGGTTTTGTTTTTAAGGATGGAAAGATCGAAGCAGAAGATTTCACTAGTAGATTATACCGCGAACTTAATTCTTCACCTCAACCTTACCTTGTGCCTTTCCTGAAGGTAATTGTGCAGCCCCCGTGCAGCCCTGCACACGGGTAGGTGGCCGCGGGCCTGTCGGAGGGGGGAGGGGAACGTGGGTGTCCCTGCTGGGCTTGAGGGCAGAAAGTGCCCTGTGATGCTTGTGAAGGTTCTCATCAGGAGGCGCTTCTGTGCGATGGGATCCTCCTGACCCCACACCTGCAGAGGTGGCGGGGAGACGAGTGCCAGGGCGGAGGGGGGTCACCAGTGGGGAGCAGGGGCTTGGGGCATCAGGGCTCTGACACCCATGTGGTTGAGTGGTGGCTTGCTCTCAGAGCAGCAGGTTTCTGGGTCTGTGAGGAGGAGCGCCGGTGCCCGGGCCCCGCCGACCCTGCATCTGTCTTTCCGCCCAGAGGAGCTTGCCTGCCTTGAGACAGCTGACCCCCGACTCCGCAGCCTTCATCCAGCAGAGCCAGCAGCAGCCGCCGCCCGCCTCGCAGGCCACCACCGCGCTCACGGCCGTGGTGCTGAGCAGCTCCGTCCAGCGCACGGCGGGGAAGACGCCAGCCACCGTGACCAGCGCGCTCCAGCCCCCTGTCATCAGCCTCACGCAGCCCACACAGGTTGGCGCTGGCAAGCCGGGGCAGCCCACGCCGCTGGTATGAAGGCGAGAGCCTCACCCGTCCCCCCACTGCCCACCTCTTACAGCCATTGGCCACGGCTCAGGGAGCCTCCTCATGGGAGGCAGGAGAGCTCCAGCTGGGGAGGCGTGGGTGCTGCCCGGACCGGTCGAGCGCGAGCCGGAGGCCAAGGCCCTGCGAGTCTGGGTTCGTTCTCAGGAAGATGAAGGAAACGTGGGCTGCGAACCCATGGGCCCGTCCCCCGTGTCGTCGGGGGTGTCCGTGCTTTAAACGGACATGGTGTGTTTGTAGGGACTCTTCAGCGGTGTCACCTTTGATTAGGAGCAGCGGCCCCAGGTCAGGAGACAGCGTGTGCCTGGTGGCGGTGCGTCAGGCAGAGGGTGGGGGATTTCTTGTCTTGTCTCATGGCCTCGAAGCCCGCTGTGCAGCCACAGTTCGGGCCCCGGTGAGCTAGAGCTGCAGGTTGCCGGTCACTGATTCACGGCGCGGGTCCCGGGCTCTGGGCTCGCAGCTGGAGGAGGGAGATCTTTGCTGGGAAGAGCGTGTACCTGTGCTCGGTGGCTGGGCTCCCCAGAGGAGATGAGGGAGTTCGCGGTTTTTGTTTTTAAATTTTCAAGGGGATTTTGTTCCTTGAAGTTAAAAAATCTGCACGGCACAGGCCTCCTTGTCACTTGGTAGCGGGTTGTAAAATGTGTTTAATTGTAGCGGCTGCTTAACTGAGGAGGCGAGCAGTGTCCGCTGGGCTGTTTGCCCCCTGCTCGGGCGAAAGCCTCTGTCTTCGCGCTGACGGTGGTCACGGAGACTTGGAGCTGGTGGGTGAGAGCATCTCACCTGCAGGGCTGGGAACTTTGTTGCAGGGTCGGGGGGGGGGGCACGCAAAGGTGTGCGTGAGAAGTCAGGGCTCTCTTTCGTCCCTTTCAGGCGGAGGGGCAGAGATTTGTAAGCGTAGGGCTGCCCTGATCACCGGAGCTCATCTGCACGCAGGTGCGGTCTCAGAGAACCGGGCCGGTCGTCGTCTTCCCTTGAAAGCCTGGGGCTTCGGTGTGTGGTTGTGAACGGGTTGACCGGTGCTGGTGGTTTAGGGCCGCGGGCTGTCTCGACCAGCAGGGTCGCTTCTGCGTTCCACTTCCCTGGTCCTGCTGGGCGTGATGTGGCTCTCTGGGGGACTGCAGTGCTGTCCGGCCCAAACTGGCCCATTCCCTGCCTCGAAGCCTGTTGAGATGTAAACCTCAGCCTCTCCCGAGTTTATATGGCCTGACCTGACGTGCAGCACCTCGGGGCGATAGCCGCCTTGACTCTCCCGCCGGTGTGGGTCTTCAGGGTTGTTGTGGAGACAGTTTGGTCTCAGGGCACTGCCGTCCCCTTGGTGAGTGTCCCATAGTCTGGGGCATACGCAGCTGGACGCCTTCGTGGCATTTAGAGATGGGCGCTTCTCTGTGAAGCTCGGAGCGCTGCTGTGTGCGGGCGTGGTTCTACCCCGGCCGCGGGGCCTTAGACGGCTGGCTCCCCGAGCAGAGGCACGGGTGGGAGCGTACCCCCACCGACAGGGCTGCAGGCCGGGCTGCGCTGCGCGGGCTTGTGATCTGGGGCAGTAGGAACGTGGCCGGGGCTGGACTCCGCTCTGGGGGTGTCTCCCTGAGCTGAGCCTTGCGTGTGTGCGGACAGGTCCTGAAGGGGAGGGGGTTGGAGAAGTTCTTCATCAAGTGGGGCACTCGGGGTAGGACTTGGGAAAGCCGACTTCCCCTCGGTGTAGAAGGTGGCGCGCCTCTTAGAGTCCGTGGAGGAGGGAAGACGCGCCCTGCAGCCCCCAGCAACTGCATCCCCTCTGCTGGGATTGGGGGGAAGGTGTGAGTTCCACGCCAGACCGCGGAGTCAGCCCGCCCCCCCTCGCTGCACTGACCGCAGGACCGCAGGCCCCATGGGCGGCTCTGCCCCGAGAGCTCATCTCCATTGCAGCGCCTGACGGGGGGGTCCCGGTCCCGGCGGGGGTCCAGCGGGGTCTGGGGTGTGTGTTGGTGGCTCTGTGAGGGGGAGGGGACGTGCTGATGGGCCCGTGGCTCTGCCCCAGGTGATCCAGCAGCCGCCCAAGCCGGGAGCGCTGATCCGGCCGCCGCAGGTGACGCTGACGCAGACGCCGATGGTGGCTCTCCGGCAGCCTCACAGCCGCATTGTGCTCACCGCGCCCCCGCAGATCCAGCTGAACCAGCTGCAGCCGGGTGAGGGCCCCTGTGGGCCGGGGGGCTGCCTCAGACTCGGCGGGCAGGGGGGTCCAGGGTCAGACTCTGCTAGACCCGCTGGTTCTGCCCCAGGCCTCGCCTGCCCTTGGTAGAGCCCCGCGGGCTTTAGGAGAGGAGGCACCCGAGGCTCTGCCGTTGCCCACGGTTTCGGGTGGGGCGTCCGGCGCTGAGAGCCGCTGGGTGGCGGCAGGTGAGCGGGGCCGCCCCCACCAGGCTCAGAGCCCGCAGAGGCGTGCGCAGCGCCCGTGGCGAGCGGTGGGTATACTGTCAGCATCTTGCGTTGCAGTCCCCGTGGTGAAGCCCGCCGTGCTACCTGGAACCAAAGCTCTCTCTGCCGTCTCGGCTCAAGCAGCTGCTGCGCAGAAAAACAAACTCAAGGAGCCCGGGGGCAGCTCATTTCGGTAAGGAGCGGGCCTGCTTGCCCTGAGCACAGCGACCCGGGCTGTGCGGCGGGCGGGGGTCTGTGCCCGGGGCCGGCCTCGCCCGTAGCGAGGGCCACTCTAACCTCGATACCGTGCTCTTTGCACGCTTCGTTTTGACCTGCGTGTGCACGTTTTCCTGCAAAGTCCACGCAGGGAGGTTTGCTGCGGATACGCAGCGGGATGCAGAGCAGCGCCCTTCAGTGTCCGAGTTAACAGAAAAGCTGTTGCTGTGAGGTCACGTCTCAGCATTCTGCATGCTTCACGCTATAGTGCGGAACGCCTCCCTTGCCCTTCTTTTAACTTGGAAAGTTCCGGAAATTCTGTCCCATGGGCACTCGATGAGCAGCGGGGCTAGGGGCTGCAGGTCAGGGACGCACAGTACAAAGGCTGTAGGGTTAATGTGGGTGATGGTGAAGCCGCGGGGGAGGGCGTGTGTCTCGGGTTTTCCCGGGGCTGCCCCCTCCCAGACGGCATCCCGGAAGCTGGTGTTCAGTGGAGCAGGGTTGGCGTCAGCGGGGTGTGGAGGGCCGGTGCCCGGTGGGGTGGGGAGGTCGTCCCCGAGGGAGGGGCGCACCTGCAGGTCAGAGAAGTAAGAGAGCAAAGGCCGCTGGGAACCCGGGTGTCTTCCTGCAGGGGGAAGGGCATTAGGACGGCCCCCATGGTCCGGGGTGAGCTTGGGGTTCAGTGTCTGGACGCACATGGGAAGGAGATGAGGCTCGCCACCCTGTGCCCTGGAGACACCCAGAGTGGAGGCAAGCACACCTGGCGCTCATACCCCATCTTCTGAGAGCCGCTCTGCTCTCGCCACCCAGACGCCCAAGGAAGGCTGGTCCTGGGGTCTCTGCAGGGCGAGCTGGTGCATCTCGTTAGGTCAGAAAGCAATGCCGGAATTGACAGAAGTCACTGGAAGGGCCTCCTTCCCACTGCCCATGTCTGTAGTGACAGACTCAGTTAATGGCTCAGACAGGAAAGCACAAGCCCATGGGAATGAATAAACAGGAAGCTTAGGAGGAGAAGGGGAGCCGGCAGGGACCCCCGAGGGCTGCAGCTCGAAGCACGGCAGGAGGGGACCAAGGAAACCCAGTCCTCCACGGGGCTCATGGGACATTCTTGTCACAAGGGATGTGGATGTCCAACGGGGACACAGACAAGCCTAAAGACGCCTGTCCTGTGGCCGTGCAGGTGTCGCGGGCACGAGAGGCAGGTAAAGGCTGGAGAACATTCCAGGCTAAAGAAGCTGAAGACCCCCGCGGAGGGGTGGTTGTGAGCATGGCTGGTGGCCTGCTTGCAGAGGTCGCCCGGCTCCGTAGGGGATGATGGCTGTGGGCGCAGGGAGCCCCCATGGGGTGTTCCAGGGTGGGATGGGGGGAGGAAGGTTGGTAGCTTCCCTGAAGGTTTTTTGGGAAGGAAAGAGCCCTCCCCCCCAAACTCCCGCCTTTCTGTAACTGTGACTGTTTCAAGAATAAGTTAATGTTCTTTGACTTTGTAAAGAAAGGTTTCACTTGGGACAAACTCCTTGAAGCTGTGAGGACAGTGTTGCTGGGTTTTGCTCCCTCAATGTAGCCCTGACTGGGGGAGCCCTCCGTGCACGTCCTCACACCAGGACTCCTGGGTGAGCTTAACCCCTGCGGGTCTTCCTGTAGGAGAACCGTGTCACCTTGAGAGAAGAGCGCTAGGCTTCCTTGTTGAGGTGACGCCACAGTGCAGGCGGGAGCTGGCGGGACGCATGCCTGGAGGGTATCGGTGTGCTTTCTCCATGGGTCCCCCTAGGGCCGGCCCCCCCGAGGGCACCTCCTGGCGCAGCCTGCGCTCAGTCGGCGTTCTCTTCTCTGAAGGGATGACGATGACATCAATGATGTGGCCTCGATGGCGGGAGTGAACCTGTCCGAAGAAAGCGCACGGATATTAGCCACGAACTCTGAATTAGTGGGCACCCTGACGCGGTCCTGTAAGGACGAAACCTTCCTCTTACCAGCGCCTTTACAAAGAAGAATCTTAGAAATAGGTACGTGGGCGTGCCGCTGTCCCAGGCCCCTCGGTCTGCCCGCGTGGCCGTACTCCTCCTCGTGGGGCTGCCCTCGGCTGTGGCTTCCCAGCGGGGCGTGTGGGCCCCAGCGAGCACGCCTGGTACCTTGTCCTGCCTTTTGCCTGTGTCCTGCACGGTTGGTGCCGGTGGTCTGCAGGTAGTGGCAGCCATGTAGGCCACTCCCTCCCACTCCGAGGAGGCGCCTGGGCTGCCCTCACGTTGCTGCGAGCAGTGAGTCATGGACGTCTGTAAAGTGTCGCTCACCCCCAGGGAGAAAACACGGCATCACGGAGCTGCACCCAGATGTAGTGAGTTACGTGTCCCACGCCACGCAGCAGAGGCTACAGAACCTCGTAGAAAAGATATCAGAAACGGCTCAGCAGAAGAACTTCTCTTACAAGGTAACGCACTGTCCTCCAACACTTCCCTGCGCCAGGCGTTGGGGGCAGCAGGAGTGTCTCACGGAGCTCCGTGTCGGGAAAGATGCCGCCTCTCTCGGCCCACAGTGATCTCTGGCACTGTGTGCCCGGCCAGTGGAGGACGCCCCGCCTGCATGAGGGCACCCGGCAGGGGTCCAGCCTGGGTGGGGGCTGGGGTGGAGGTGGTGAGCCCAGCTTCAGAGGCCTGCGCTCCTGCGGCTGCCGGCCAGCCAAGGGGCACATCCTAGGGGCTTGGGCTCACACCTGGTCCTGGGCCTCGGACCACTGCCCCGTTTGGTTTTGTGGAGGATCCCCCGCCTCTAAGGGGTCAGCTGTGGGGCAGGGTCCGCCTGTCTTGTCCGTCCTTCACACGCTAGTACTACTTGGAGGGGCCCAACCCAGTGAGGCTGGTGCTGTGGGCGGGGCAGTTAAAATAACAAATCAAGTGATGCTGGAGCGTGTACGGTGGGATCACCTCTGAGCCCTGCACAGCTCGCCTGAGACTCGCTAGTCAGCATGTTAGCACCCGGGCCGGCTGGGGACCAGGGTTCCGGTGCACGGAGGGTCTGTAGGACCTGCCTGGGGAGGTGGGGCGGTGTGCAGCCTGTCCAGACTGGTCTTCAAATTTGTGACTCTGTTTTTGCCTTTTTGTAGGACGACGACAGGTACGAGCAGGCAAGTGACGTCCGGGCTCAGCTCAAGTTTTTTGAGCAGCTCGACCAAATTGAAAAGCAGAGGAAAGATGAGCAGGAGAGAGAAATCCTCATGCGGGCGGCCAAGGCAAGTTCCCGCACGTCACCGAGCAGGCTGCTCCCTGCTCCGGGCCCTGGGCACCCGCGCACACGCTTGGGGCTCTGGGAGGCCAGCGCGGTGCTAGGGGGCTGGCCCTGCAGAAGACGTGATGTATGTGGTTTAGGAGGGGCCACGGGTGTGATGTGGACCTGAAGTGCAGGCCGTGGTGGCTGTGGTGGCCGTGCTGGCCCCCACCTGTCAGGTTCCTGTGCCCGGCGGGCGTGGCGGTGACGGCCCCTGAGCTCTTCTCCAGAGAGCGTGACTTCAGAATAATGGGTGTTTTTTCCCATAACGTGCAGGCTAAATTTTCATCTTCTGACTGTAAATAAGCGTTTAAAAAAGTAGTGTATGTTCTGTCGTATGATCTGGACATTGTGTTGTGAATAAGATAGGATGCTTGTTAGATAGTAGACATTAGGTCATAACGTACTTATTTTTTACTTTAAAAATAGTCTCGATCCAGACAAGAAGATCCGGAGCAATTACGGCTGAAACAGAAGGCAAAGGAGGTAAGCGCTTGCGGTCAGAGTCTTTGCTCCGCGCCTGCGAATGGATTCTTACATAGACTAAACGTCCAGCCGAAGGATGGGGAGGAAAGCGGTGGCGTTTCTGCGACGAAGCTCTGAGGCGTTCGCAGGGCGCGGGCGCGGGCGTCCTACTGGACACGGGACGGGTCCCGCGTTGCAAGCCTTTGGCCCGTCACACACTGTGTGACCTTCTGAGCTTCTCAAGACGCGCGTCTGTGCTCACTTTATGGTTTTCGGGCTGCAGGATCAGCTTACCGCTACAGTCAGGACAGGGAAGAAATTGTAATTTAGACAAAGATCGTTTGATGTCTGTCGCTCTCGTGGTAAGCACGAGTCAGGTCATGAGATGACGCCCTCGTTTCTCTTTCAAAACGAAGATGCAGCAACAGGAGCTGGCGCAGATGCGGCAGCGCGATGCCAACCTCACGGCGCTCGCCGCCATCGGGCCCAGGAAGAAGAGGAAAGTGGACTCGCCGGGGCCAGGGTCGGGGACTGAGGTATGTTGTGGCGCGGCCGCCGGCGGGCAGGGGTCTCGCGAGGGCTTCCTGCCTCTGCCCTGCAGGTCGCAGACACGCCTGAGGGTCGGCCTTCCTGCCTGTGTGCGAGGCTCCCCCTTGGGCTGCTTGTGGGTCTCGCTGACTTGTGGGCGTGCCGTGAGCCGGTAGCTCTGTCCGCGAGGAGGTTCGCTGCCCGGGCCTGGGTGCTGTGAAGTTGGACCACCTGTGGAGGGAGCACGGGCAGACTCTTTCGGAAGCGTGGCCTTCCGGGGACGCCCGCTCCTCTGGGGCAGCATACGGGACACGGCCCTGAGCTGGACAGGGGCTCTGGCCCGTTTCTGTCCAAATGTTGTTAGTTTCCTGTGATGCTTCACATGGCTACACGCCCAACCTCGGAGTTTTGTTACTTTTGCTTCGATCGTTGTGGGAAGAAAACACGTATGGCCTTTCCCATGGACACGAGGTCACCGCTGCTGGCACCGGTGCTGGTGGTCCGGGCTGGCGCCAGCGTTGTTCCCCTCGCCCCGAAGGGCAGCGCCCGGCATTTCTTGAGGTGCGGCACACGGATGTGGGTTCTCCTCACTTCTCTTGACTCGTGAGGCCTAGCACATCTCCCTCAGTTTTGAATATTTTCCCTGAGTATAAAATTCTGGGTTGACAGTATTTTTCTCATTTAAGATTCTCTTCTACATCGTTGAATGAGTGGAGTGCACCCAGATAGGTGTCATTTAATTTTCGGGAAGGACACGTGAAGGATATGTGCACCCAAGGACCAGGCGCCCTTCGTGTTCTGCGCTTTCTCCCCTGTTCCCGGGGCCCCTCTGTCTTCTGCGACGTCTCACCTCCAGGGACACGCCCACTCAAATGCTCTGCTGTCTTGTTCCAGATCACAGAAAAGGGGGGAGGTTTCCCAGCGTGTTTCCCAAGATTGTAAAACTTCTTCTTCCTTTTTTTTTTTGTAAAGATTTTATTTATTTATTTGACGGAGAGAGACACAGCGAGAGAGGGAACACAGCAGAGGGAGTGGGAGAGGGAGAAGCAGGCTCCCCGCGAGCAGAGAGCCCGATGCGGGCCTCGATCCCAGGACTCTGGGATCATGACTGAGCCGAAGGCAGAGGCTTGATGACTGAGCCCCCCAGGCGCCCCACAAACCTCTTCTTAAACAGCTGTAGTGTCTGCGTGACCATCATTCTCCTGTGAAAGGGGGACTCTGTTGTCTCCCCCCCCCCCCCCCCCCGAGGTTACGCTTGTGGCCTGTGCCTGTGGCTTGTCCCTTCTCTGGCTGCTCTGAGAGCGCCGTCTTCATTTCTGCAGGTTTGTCCGGGTTGTCTCTGGACTGCGTTCTCGACATGTAGCCTGCTTGGGGTTCTGAGCTGTGCAGGTTGGTGTTTTTCTTCAAATTTGGGACATTGTGGTCTTTATTGCTTCAAAATTTTTTTCTGTTTTTTCGGTCTGTTTTTTCCAAGGGGGGTTTCCAGTTACACGTATGTTAGACCTGACGATGTTGCCCTTGGGTCTCTGACACTGTTCAGTTTTCTTCCATCTTTTTTCTCTCAGTCCTCACACAGGACGGTCCTGGTTTAAGTCTCTGGGTTCCCCGAGCACGCGGAGCCGCGGCGTCAGCGGGGAAAGCGTGGCGCCCACCCAGTGACACTCTGAGTGTCACTGGCGTGTTTGTGCCTCTGGAGTTTCCAGTCGGTCTTTCCCGGGGCTTCTGACTCTTGCTGGGGTTCCCTGTCTGCTCCCGGGCCGGCACAGAGGGCTTCCTCCTTGGCCCGTGTAGAGAAGCTGCTTTAGTGTGTTTGGGAGACCAGTGTCCGGGCCACCTCAGCGTCCGTCTCTGGTCACCGCTTCTCCCCCCAGCGGCGGGTCTCGCGCTCCCGTTTCTTTGCACATCTAGTGGTTGCTCCTTGATGCTGGATGTTGTCTGATGGGGTGAGAGGCGGGCTTCGTCTCCTCTGAGGAGTGCCGGCACTCCTGACAAAAGGCGCTTCCCCTGGACCCGTGTGCTTTGGTTTTCACTTTGCTGTCAGTGCCCCTGGGACCAGGTGGGACCCTCCCACGCCCCACCTTCCCTGCCCGGGTTTGGCCTGAGGCTTGGGTGCAGTGGCTGTCACTCTTGGGAGTAAGCTCTCCTCCCAGGGGAAGGCCCTCCGGCATCTGGCTGGGTGGGCTGGGCGGGCTGGGTGCCGGGGTGGGAGCCGGGTCTTCCTGCGGGCCGGCCGGGCTGCCATGATGCCCGTGGTGGCCACACACGTTCCTCACTCGCCGCTGAAGGTGCGCGTGCCGTCGCGCCGCCACGCTCTGCCTCTGCCCCTCTCAGCCACGCTCAGCGGTGGTTCCCGAGGGTCGGACTTCCGCGCTGGCGGTGTCTGTCATCTCTTTGGTTGTCTGTTTCTTGAAAAGAGAGAGCTTTTTCCCCACTGAGAATAGCTTCAACCTACAGGAAAGTTGTGGGAGTGGCACACAGAACTCAGTTTAACTTCTGGAGGTTGCGTTGCCTGCAGCCCTCACGGTGTCTCATGTGCGTATGTGTGTGTGCTGCACGTATGTACATACGCAGTCTCCCTGGGATGGATGCCCTGCACCCCCAGGGGCCGGCGCTGGGAGGCGCTGAGGGGCGCTGTTGGGCACTGTTGGGCACGGGGCCACACAGCCTCCCAGGCGCAAGGCTGCCCGTCCTCCCACCTGCTCCCACCTTGCCCACAGCCCAGCAGCATCTCCGGCTCCATGTGGGGCACCGGCAGGCACACCATGCAGTTCTGTTCTGGATGTCCTGCTCTGGGCAGTGCTGAAGGGGACGGGATTGCGTGCATAGGTGACCTTCACTCTGAGTCCGGTGACGGGCAGAGATGCCTCCCTCACGACGGGTCCTCTGTGGAGCCCATCACCTCAGGTGGCCCGCGTGTGGGGACCTTCCTGTTGACCTGCGCCATGGCCCCGGGTGCAGTCTGCTCAGCCACGGTCCCCAGCGTCGTCCCCTTGGTTCCGTCAGCGCGTGTCGGCACTTGGGGAGGACATGCTCCAGGATCCCGCAGAGGCTGCCCCTGTCCTCCACCAGCCTCAGCACCCAGTGCCAACGGCCGCCCACGCCCACCGCCACCATCACAGGGGCCAGTGTGCCGGTGTGTCCGTGGGCCCTTCTGCTCCTGCTAGTTGTCTCCTGCGCACGCAGAGCTCCCCCTCCTCCCTTCATCCGTCTGCTCGTTTGTTTGCTCGGCACCGTGGCAGGGACCGTGGACACCTGTTGTATTTGGTGGGTTGTAATCAATACTCTCGTTATTTCTAGATTTGGGCAGTGAAAGCTCCTTCAAGCTGGTTTCTATATCCTTTTGAAACGTCTCCCTCGCTCTTGAAGCATCGCGCTCTTAGCGGCATGAGTGGCGTCCCGGAGCCTCTGGTGCTTCCCTGCCCCCAGCACTCTGCCAGGAGCCCTGGTTCCCTTCGGGGGCAGGGGGCTGGTGTGTGGAGGCCGGGGTCTGAGCTGTGTGTGGGCCGGATGCTGTGGGGCTCCCGGTTTCCTGGCCCAGGGGCGTTCACGCAAGTTCAGGTGTGCACGCGCGCATCTGCCCTCCATGTCTCCGACGCAGCCTCTGCGCTCCTGCCGGTGCCCTGACTCCGGTCTGCTGATGGAGTCCTTGCTGATGAGTCCTTCTCCGTGAGAACGCAAGTTCCCACCATGTGCAGCGCGTCCAGTCGTCCGCTCAGCACGACCAGCTCCCCAGCCACTTTGGCTGCTGGGGTCCCGGTGCTGGGAGGGGCGGGAGGCAGATGGGAAAAGCATATTGATTAACTTTGACTCGGGTGTTAAGATGTGTCCGCAGTACGTGCTAAGGAGTAGGAAAAGCTTCCAGACCCGCAGGGAGAGCCGGGCGCGAGGCAGCAGCTGGCAGTGGAGCACGGGGACCTGAGCGGCACAGTGGGAAGAAGCAGGTCGCCAGAGACCGTTCTGGGGAGTTCTTTCGTACGTTGTTGCTTTTGCCTGTTTTTGGAATTCAGGGGGACACTTGTGCCTTTCGTCACCAGAGGTAGTGCTCCATTCCTTGTCCTTTTTTTTAGTTTAGGAGTATTTCCTTTTTAAAAAAATTGTTTATCTTGAACTAATTTAAGACTTGTGGAAAAGTTAGGGACGTACTAGAGCGTTTCTGTGTAGCCCTCGCTCAGCTCTCTCCAGTACGAGTTATCAGAGTGACGGACTGTCAACAAGACCTTATCTGATTGTTTTTCAGAATTTAATTTTTTACAATTACGATGGATTTTCATGCTTTAGAGCAGCTTTAGGTTCACAGCCCAACCCGGGGAAGGTACATAGATTCCCCGCGTGCCCGCTGCCCCACCCCCACCCCCGACGCACGACCTCCCCGAGCGGTGCAGGTCGTACAAGGATGAGCTCACACGGACACGCCGTCATCACCCCAAGTCCGAGGTCACCCTCGGGTCACTGTGGGCGCCGTGCACTCTGCGGGTCGAGACAGACGCATCCGGACCTGCTTCCGGCTTCATCGCATCACACGGAGTGGACCCCTGGGCGCCAGGAGCTGGTCTCCACCTCCCCATCCCCCCCCCGTCCTCACCCCACCTCCAGCTACCCTGTGACCACTGGTCTCTACGTCTCTGTCCATGTGCCTTTTCCAGAAGGTCACAGGGCTGGAATCACAGGGCGTGCGGCCGGCCCGGGTGGGCTCCCTCCCCGGCTTCTGCGGCTCGAGAGCGCATCTCTCTCGTCCGCCCTGAATCCGGTCCCGTGTCGGGATGGACCCCGGTGTGTCTGTCCGTCGCCGGCTGAAGGACGCCTCGGTCGCTTCCACGTTTCGGCAGTCACGGGCGCAGCTGTAGGGACGCTCGGTGTGGCAGACGCGGCCTTCCAAGCTGCCTTCCGAGGCGCCGGGCCACGTGGCGTTCCCGCCAGCCACGCGAGCGCCCTGCACTGGAGCTCCTGCGGCGGCTGGGTTTCCGCCGCCCCCCGCTGGCGCTGCTGCTCCGTAGCGCGGGTCAGTACG